TTTATCTAGTACTGGAGCCATATATGTATATGACCTTTGGACCTTTGTATTTATATTGCTTAGGCATAGGAAGAAATTTGCCAGTGCATTTACTTTTATACCTCTGTGGAAATCAGGTCATGCCACTCTATTAAATCCATAATAATTTTGTAATTATTTAACTCATTTGAATCTAGCAGTGGGCAGCCATAATGTCCAAGCAGCTACTCTGTGACCAGAGATCATAAGTGAGAAGATAAAGTAATTGTGCTGCTGTTGGTGCATTAAGCCTAAATATGTGAGTACTATGTACAGGAAAAATGTATAGTTCTTATGAAAATGTTTTCACAAAGGATACATATTCCATGATAAATATTCACCTTATAGCACCCAAGAAGTTATGTATTATTCAGCCATCTTTATTTTTATTTATTTCCTCTAGTAGGAAAGTTCAACACATTGCAGGTTGAGGTCCATAAGTAACTTCCTTACTGCCGTATCCTCCTTTCAGATCCATGCAGACTTGTAGCTTTGAATTTATTATTATATTGCTGGTTCTGTAGAGTAGAGTAGAATTTGTGTGAGAGTTTGTTGGACCCACACTCAAAACCACTTTCTGCAGTCTGTCCCCCACACCCCACCCTTTACACACATATCTCAATCAAAATTATGCACACATTGTATGTTACATATGTACTGAACTAGGCAAAAACTTGTCTGTAACAGAGAATCCATATAACCTGGTTATTTGAGTATAACCATAAAAAACTGAGATTTTTACATTGGCATTAATAAGTTGCTTTAAGCACACCAGATTTGTATATTTACAAGTAATTAATTAACTATTTCAGTGTTGTAAGGAATGGAAATTTTTAAAATTTCTGTATCAGATTTTAAACTAAAGTTATTTGAAGTAATGTGTTTTTTTTATATTTTATTGCAAATATTTAATTATATTTACTGTCATTGTATGTCCAAGTGATTTTCCTGATTGTACATTCCAGTATTGAAGAATTGTTTTCGTATCTTATGCATTTACTTGTGTGTCATTACTGTACATATGCTTGCATGAATAAATGTTCATTAAAATTTTAGTTTGAAAGAGCTGGTACTTTAGTGCATGGTACAGAAATTGCCTGAAAACAGTCGCCAAATTCTTGCCAAAACATTTCTGTAAACTTAATGCAATTGATTCTTCAGTGGAGGCTTATAGTGTTTAGTGTGAAGTAAGCGTGACATTGATGACGACAAGTTAGTACTATCTGATAGTTTGTCCAAAAACAAGAAAATCCATTACAGCAGATTGTTTCGGGTTGAGATTCAAACCTCGTAACTCTGAAATACTTATTTATTTATTTATGTCAAATGGCAGGTACATAGAATTTCATCTTTGACCCTTTTTTTGCCAAGCTTGTAGACCACTTTGCCATCAAAGACGTTGCCCAGGGTGCACCACAAGGAGGTAGGTCTACTTTGCACTCCCTCTGAAATACTTGTTAGACACATTCTGCCATTTAAACTTTAGTGTCTCTGTATCAGTGTATGTATGATCCAGCTGAAGATCCCCAGAGTTTTTCCCAAGAGGGTACGGCTAGCCTCGTGTATGGCCAAAGCCTATGGTTGGCAGTCCTAGTGGTGATCTGACCCATCATGGTGAAAGCCCTACGCAGGAAGAGAAGGTCCAGAAAGGGACCTCATAGAACAAGTATATCGGGGAAAGCCCCAGCTAGGAACAGGTGTAGGGGACATTACCTTGCTGAATCAACAGGGGCAAATCCTCATAATGAGGCAAGTCAAAGAGGCCAGAGGCTTTGTAGGAAAGAGCCCCGCTGAAGATGAGAGGAACCCTTGGGGTGTAGCCCCACCTCCGGGTTAGCTTTGCCCCTTTGCATAGTTGTACAGGTTGTGTAATTTCTAGAAAAAAACCCGCGACAAACGTGGAAGGCTTGCTTAAGGCGTTTTTCACTCATGCTAGAACGAGAAGAACGCCTAATAAGAAGTAATTTGGTGAGTTGTTCCTACTATTTTCTCGTGCGTGAGGATAAAAAGTATGCGGGTTGAAATACAAGCACAAAATATTAAATAGTAAATTCTGACGTAAGAAAGAAAGTAACAAAGTTTTATTTACCCAAACACGTTTAAATTTGCACAAAGGAACTAGAATTTATATCGGGGAGTGTATGGTTGGCCCCTCTGACAGCACAGATGAACACGCGGCAACTAGATGATTGGTTCGACTGGAGGTGTTTGTCATCGTCAGTCACTTCCGGCATGTGGTGATTTTGACTGTGTTCGTTGCGGACTGAACACAACTACTACTGAGCAAAGCGTGTGCTACTAACCTCTGCCAGTCCCCCTTATGTAAGTCGCACAGTAGAAGTGGGCTACTATGATAACGCACCCGCTCCTTTCCGTTCCAAGACTACTTCCTGCAGAATGAACAAATGTGAGCATTTGGATGCAGTATTTACAGACTGTTCCGCTCAGCATTGAGCCAGCGTGAAGCATCACGAGCGGTACGTATTGTGCTGAAGCCATAAAAGGAAGGCATCCGTTCAAAAAAGTACTAGCGCGGATACCTGTTAACCTTATAATCTGAACAGTTTCTGCTGACCATAACCAAGAAAGCTCTGTAAGGTATTTCTGTATCTCCATAACCTGTATTATAACCTAAGTCAATCAGAAAGTGTGCTTGCTTACAATTATCTAATTTCGTCAAGACAGAAAATTGCTACCTGCGTATTTCTTGTAACTGTGATTACAAGTTTCGTAAATCACTTTCCTTTAAAGTGTGTGAACATTTTCAACTTAAAATTTTATCTGACAACAATCCTGAAGGATAGTCTATAACTTTGTTGTGTTAAAGTAACAATTGTATCGAAGTAGAATCTTAATTTAATCACATTTCAGACTCACGTTACAGTATATATTCACTGGAAGATTTTTAGTACTGTGTGTTAAAAGAGAAGGTCATGTCAGGTCGAATATTTAGGCAATATTGAAAACAGGAAGACATCTACGGGACATTTCTTTTTTGTCGAAGTCTGTAAGTTCCAGCCCTTAACATGCGAAACACCTCAAAACTTTTTTATTCTTGTTATAGATAAGAAAACTCGGGATATTTCAGCCATGTTCACTTTAAATTGTCATTTGTCCTTACTGTAGGTAATCAACATGCAGGTTTGCCTGTATCTGCCCATATTTGTGATCTCTGGGATATGGTTTCCATCCACGGTAGAGGGAGCTGTCGCTATGATGATAGTGGAGCCAAATGAAGGTAAGCTGGAAAGGTTGTCCGTTCCACCATGTTAAACTCGTGGTCTGGTTAAAGTTGTGATAAGTATTTATTACAGAATGAAAATAATTTGTTCATGCATTTTATACCTATTTTTGCTTTAAACGATACTGGATACGGATCGAGGTCAATTAACGAGTTGTGCAGGATAGTTTTCGATTATGACGTAGGACGCGTGACTGACCTCAACCAATACGTTTCAAAATTCGTAACATGAATGAGAGAATAATTTATAATATCTGTTTTCCTGTAAATCGTCCCATTTATTTCGAGACACAGTGAATCGAACAGATTAATAACTTTACAGCCAAAGCAATCGATATTCTCTGGTATCTTAAATTGTCGGACATAACCTCAAAACCTATCGCCTTTAACAGAAAATGTAATTATGATTGTACTCTGTCGCTTTATAGAAGTTCACATTTCTGACATGGGAAAAAGAAACAGATACCAAGAAATTAAAGCAAGTTGATAATGTTCTTCGTTCAGTGTGTACACACTCGTACTGCAGCTGAGATTTTCACATCCCCATGACGTCACCCACCTTTTTATTAAATATTTCTATATAAATCTCTCGCCATCTGCGGATTTATGTACAGTTTGAAGATGACCGTCTTCTGTCATCACGGAGATGATAATGGCAGCAGAAAGTACATCTGAAACGACATTGAGCCATCTTTATCAGACTGCACGGCGTACCATCTTAGAAAATCTGAAATCTTACTTATATGCAGTATTTCTGCAGCAAGAGATCCATATTTGCTTGTGCAGGGCTTTAACGGCTTCCCTCACAAGTTTTCTAGCTTCCGGATTGCTATTTATGCGTGTTGTTGTGAGACAAATTCTTATATTTCCCTTACAATATATCTTTTATTTTTGCAGATACTTATAGTTTGGTAAGTTGTTAGACCTGCTTTTAACGAGCGTTTGCCAACGATGGCAATTTTGTTTCATAAATGAAATTCCGCGGTTGTCAAGGGATTTCTGTACTTGTTGTGTGTTTGTACAGTACTCAGAGATGTCACGACTGATGTTTGTCCGCAGACCATCCCGGTAAGTGTTACGACCCTGAAACCGAGAGGGCATACGCCGTCGGCGAGAAGTGGCGCATCGGCACGATTTGCGTGGAGTACAGCTGCTCTACCTGGCGAGAAAACAAGTTTAGGATTTCGTTAACAGGGTAATGAATTTACATTCAAAGAGATAAATGTAGTGCGGACATGTAAACAGATTCATTATTTGTCAAACAGCGAATTATTGCGGATTGGGACTGTCGTATTCCGGAGGTCCGGGGTTCAAATGTGAACCCTGAGACCATCTACTCTGAGGTTTACCGTGGTTTTCTCTCATCCCTCCAGGCAGATGTGGGGATATAGCTTTAAATTATGTCATTAGCTCTTCCTTTCCAATCAATCATCGACTGATAGCCTTGTAATTCGACGCTGTTGAAGATGTCATTAAATACTATATCTAAATTAACAAATAAATAAGAATAAACCCGACAGGTATCAATCGACTTCAGAGCATAGTAACTGCGTACAATTTTATTACATATTAATATGCATAATTTCCATTAGCACGCATGGAATTACATTTCTTGAAGGCAGTCAGATAAAATCGAATAGGTTCGCGCATGCGCCATATTTGTAATTGATAACCTATAATATTGGTTCGTGCAGAGTTTGTAGGAATGCGTGTGATTTTCGCTCAATACCAGATTGTAACTTATATGTGGACCTCCACTTCATCATTTCACATCAGAGCTGAAATAAACACACATTATCACGATCGACATGTAAAGACAATCTTAATCGAATTTACGAATTTTTTTAAAACATTTATCATCACGCAAAATATCAGGATCCTGCCGGAACAAAAGTTAAAAAAATGTCTCCCACCTCACAAGTTCATGCAGATGTAGTAATGGCGTCTGTGATGAATTTGAATTTTAATAAAATACAGCATTTAGTTAGTCTAAGTGAAGAAAACTGTCTTCTGGGATGCTGTGACGTGTAGTGCCATGATAATGCAGTAAGCACCTCCGAAGGGACCTGATGATGGAGGCAGTAAACACCCCCGAAACACCATAATTATGAAGACTGTAAGCACCTCTGAAAGAACCTGACGATGGAAGTGGTAAGCGTCTCTAAAACGTCTGTCAATTTCTGTGGGACTACGCGTTGCATCATCCCAGAAGGTGGCCGTCTTCATATTGGCCTTCGTGAGAACCAGAGGTCTTTCGAAGGCGCTGTTGTGATGTGTTTGTCTTGTCTTGTGCTCGCTGCAGATGCGGGTTTGTGAAGGTGGAGCCACCTTGCACAGTTGTTGAAGATTCTGGCTCTGCTTTCCCGGACTGCTGTCCGAAACCCTTGTGTCCGAATCAAAGCCGTGGAGGAATGATAGAGCCACGTTAATGACCGAGTGGTACAGAATCTTCCTTGAGCAGTGACAACCATTTACTCAGAACTTTCAATTCTTACCACGACTTACACACGAGATAACATTTAATATTATTCTCCCATACACTTTTAAGTTTCTTATGGTCTCTTTCCGTAAGTTGTTACATCTGCAGTACGTGTTCTGCCAACTCTAATCACCATCGTATGAAGAGCAGGCCTGCAACACTTGCGATGTTCTCTGTCCCTTCGTTGTTTCATGTGCCTCAGAACCAAACGTTCTTCTCAGCACTGTCGTCTTAAATACCCTGTGGAATTCGTAAATAAATAAAATTAACATAATTCTTCTCCCCCCTTTGTCTCCTGAGTATGTACTGTAGAATCCATTAATAAAAACTTCCAAGCGCAATATACTTCTGGTTTTTATTTTAATTTTAAACAGGTTTGCAGTTTTTCCACATCTCATCGAGCCTCTTGTTATATAAAGAATTTGGAACAGGTCGACCACTGTATGTACAGAGTGGATGGTAAGTAAGTAGGCATTAAATAATATCTTTGCATTGGAAATATAGAGGTTATAACCATTTCTCAATGCCTACTTCTCACCCACTCTGTAGGTAGATAAATAGGGTTAAGTATGGTGGCGACCTCGGTCCGGACGAAGGCCGAGTGAACTAGGGAGCGATCGAAACTTCAAATGTTTTCCTTTCCGATCAATATCCCGTGCTGGGGTGGTCTTAGGTTGTCTGCCTGAATCACAAGGTTACCTTTAGTGGGGACGGCCAGACACTCGCAAGCAGCCATGTGGTGAAGGTAATTTCTTTTAATACTGGTCTTTATTTCCACCCATCAGAGGTCTTCGGGGTTTCTGTTACTGTATTTGAGTAGAACGCAAGCATGTATTGTGTATCGATAGTTTTTAGGGCGATGAGTTAATTGATTTGTTAGCTTTCTTTGTCATCGGGTGGGGGCGGTAGGCTTTGGGACAAACGACTTGTTTGTTTCGTTCAATTACAAGGAGGCAGCCAAGGACCTCTGAAATGTTGGTAAATTTCTACGAGACTACGTGGCGCTACAATCAGATGACAGTCAGCCATCTTCGTAATCACCGACGTCATAACCTCAAATCCTACTTTTGTTTCACGAGTTTTCTGTCTGTTAATTTTATGGAGTAATGTCTGTGGAATTGTATTTAAAGAGCTAATTGAAGATATAATTGATTAGGCATAAGTTCTTTACACTGTTATGTCTTTATTCGCACGATGTTATGTTTTTTCGATTAATTTGAATGCAGTCATTTGTTTTTGTTTCCAAGTACACTCGAGCGGGGATCGCTAAGCAATCCAGTGACAGCAAGACATGAAAGCCGCACTCTTTCAACTGCTGAAAGTCTATGTTCCTATTTGGACAAACATTGGGCATAGAACAGCCGCTTTCTATAGTTAATAGTAATTAGTATTTGCCCATAGGTTTTCTGTTGTTTCCCGAAAGCTACTGTTCAGTGTCAGTCACTTTTTGCACACGTTCTAATTAAAGTATTAAGATCAAAAAGGGAATTGTTATCAGTTAACTTTACTGGAATTAAGACTCCTATAGCATATTACGAGCAGACCTTTATTGAGTCGCACTAAAATGAAATGTGTCAATTTTTTGAAACATTGAAGAAGAATTTAGCGTCTCGCGTATATCGCCAGGTCGCCACGATTACAAAAGTCGTCACGGACGCTCTAAAAGACCACGGTCGTCTTGATCGCCCAAGCCTCGACGGACTCCTTGTTCATCGCAGGCACTTCCGTCGTCAGGTCGCCTCGGTGGCTCCTTGACGTAATACTGCGGTCACTATTATTTAATAATTCAGTCCGTACCTCAAAGAAAACCAAACTCTTTACTGTTCCGAAAATCAGTTTGTTCCTTTGTGATTCTGTATTGTATTTCATCCCTCACAAACCCGAAATTTGTACAACTCATTATCACAATTCGTGAACATCACTTCTTGATGGCTGTTGTGTATCTTGATAAGAGTATCCTGCAGCCGCGTAGTTGCTGTTTTGTAACTGTCATCCGGAGTTTTCTGCGGTTTTGCCAATCAGTGCGGTTAGAAAGGAATGCCTGCCCGTTCTGCCTTCATGGAGTAATTTTCCATTGCTTTGTTACACTCAAGAGACAAACCGAATATGAAACTAATTCTGTGCCTTGTAGCTTTCGTAGCCACAAACTTTCTTTAGTGAATCCAAAATATTTTGCTTACAAATGTTGGGGGGACCGTATAATTTATATTCCAGTTATGTTCGCCTCTTTCTTCGAAGATGATTTGAATTTCTTAAGAGAACTAAACACGTGGAATCTTCTCTTACATGTAAGACTTGAGGTTCTCACAGCGGTGAGTATGAAGATATCCGTCTTCTGGGCTGTTGCGCTGTGTAGTCTGGTCGATGTTAACCAACGTTTCAGAGGTCATACTGCCTCCATCATCAGGGCGATGAGTATGAAGATTTC